AAGTGCTTCTTGACAGGAATTTTCACGAGATTCTATCAATTTCAGTACCTGCTTCTCTAAAATTCATTTTTGGGTCCTGAAGACGTTTCTGCACTCGATTGATATATGATAAAATATTTTTCCAAAAATGCAAAAGTACAAGAAAATAAAAGGTAAGCATGTATTACAGAATATTATGAGCACCACATTTTGTTTCAGCCGTGTTGCCATTCTCACTTAATTGCTCTAACAGTCCAAGCAATTCATCCAGTTTTTCATGTACAACTTTTACTGCCTTTTCTTTTGCACTTCACCGTGTTTCTGATTCACGCTTGACAGAGATCTTAAGCTCCTCCTGCAGTTCGTCCCATCGAGTTGTTGAATAAACAAAGAAATTATAAATGGCTTCAATTATACCAAAAAAAGGTAATAACTGTTGTTTCCTGACTTGCAGCATGAAGACATGTTAAGTTCAAACTATGGTTGTCAGAGTTTAAAAATACTGCTTTTGGATTTTTGTTCAGAATTCTTTGTTGAACGCCTGACAGATGACCTGACATGACAGCAGCATTATCATAACCTTGTGAACAACAATCACTCAATAAAATTCCATCCACTTCTAAATTTGTGCTTATTGTTTTCTCAATATTGGCAGTGTCTTTTTCCTTTATCTGTATAAAGTCAATAAATGACTCTTTAACTTCTACTTTTCTTGTCTTAAAGTCAATGTCAACAAACCGAATCCCTTGGGCCAATTGCTCATGATGGGCTAAAACAGGTGTGGAATAAAATAGAATACCATAATATTTGTTTCTACGAATTGCTGACAAACAATAATTTCGCACATGTGAAGCCATGAGATTTATAAACTCATTTTGGATTTCAGGAGAAAGATAAGTTGTTGATGTTTGCTTGTTTTTAACACGCTCTAAATGCTCTCTCTCATTACTGGATCATACTTTGCTAATAACTGCAAAAGTGAAAGGAAATTTCCAGGGTTTTCGTTTGAGGTTATGTTCTCAATATGACCACGAAATGCAAGATTCTCAGAAGCTAAATATTGTGTACCATCCAGCAACCGTAAGAGCTGCAAAGGCAAATTCAGCAAGAAAAAAATAAATGGAGAGATGTACTGCGCCGAATTCGTCTTCAAAGTGGCATTAATGTGTTCAGTTTCTTTCCAAGCAGCAAATGACTCACGATGACTGTCACTATTTTCATGGGCATTTAAGTTTTAATTTTTTTTTCACTTAGAAAATCCACCATGTGTTTTGAAAGCAGACTGACTATCAGATGTCATACACATAGCTGAAAAAACAAGACAACAAAAGCAGTATGCTGCTTTATGTAGAGGTGAATACACCAACCAGGAACGATTAAGAAGGCGTCGTTTGAACCAAAACACAGTCATAGAACGCCCATCTTTGGCATCAAATGAACCTTCTGTATGTTGAAATTCGTGTGCTCCAACTTTAACAATCTCTGTGCGATGTGTATGTGTTACAACTGCTGAGCCTGTTGTATCAGACTTCATAAATCTAATATTGCTATGTGTTAAAATAATTATTAGGTCACCCTCATTTAACTTAGCAACTCTATTCTGTGGATTTGTTTCTGACAAAGTGGAATCCTCTTGTTTATTATTATTGTAGCTTTCAACAGGAC